CACTGCCTGCATTTGGATCAAAGTGACCGAGGTTTCGGACAAAACTGTTGTATTCTCCTACGGAACAAAGACAAATCCGTACGAGATTCAGCTTTATCTCAGCCGGGAATCTGCAGTGCTTGCTGTAGGTAGCATCCAGCACAAGTTAACTGTCAAAAATGTAATTGTTCCCGGAAAGTGGATCCACCTTTGTGGCACCTGGAGTTCGGGAAACGGAACTGCATCCCTGTGGGTGAGCGGAGAGCTCGCAGCTACCACCTCAGGAATCGCAGACACTCGCACAATTCCAGACGGAGGAATTCTGCAGATCGGCCAAGAAAAGAACGGTTGCTGCGTCGGAGGTGGATTTGATGAAGCTTTAGCCTTCTCAGGAAAATTAACTGGCTTTAACATGTGGGACAGAGTTCTCAACGATGAAGAGATAGCAATGCAGAGCGGAGAAAACGCATGCAGCATCAGGGGCAATATCATTGGGTGGGGAGTTACTGAAGTTTTGCCACATGGAGGAGCTCAGTATGTTTCTTAAAATCTGACAAAGTAGGTTCTGAACCGAAGAATATATTTAACTAAGAGCAGAATACCAACATATACACAAGTAAACAGAGCCTTAGGAGCCTGAGTCTCAAATTCCCCAGGAAGATTAGCACTGTAAGTTTACAAAATGAGGTACTGTGGAGATGGGATTTGATCTCTGCCTGCTGTTTTGGCAAAACACTCAAAAAATACATCAAGGAATGACATTGGAAAAGCTGTTCCTGAGGTCAGACAACTGCTGTCTCTCTAGCTTAGTGTTATCAGATTTACAGAAATGAGGGCCACTGTGGACATTTCAGAGCAGGATTTTGGCTCCTGGAATCTGTGCTAAACTGAATACGTCAGGTAAACAGCTGACCTATTCTCTGCAGAACAGACATCAGGCTGTGTGCATCTTCTAGACTTCTCCAGTCATTGATTTTTATAGTGCTGATGTGAACTGTACAGATGAACCATATAAGCCACGTGTGCTGTTTATTAATCGTTAGCAATTTGTAGACTATAATAAAACTAGTTCCTTGTTTGAAACATTATTTATGCCATGGATTGACCTAACACTTAAAATTAATATTCTCCATTATAATCTGATGTTACATTTTGAGGAAAAAAAATGCAGCTGTATTATATTGTAAATTCACCTGGTAATAATTTTATTGAAATTATTTTTGTAAAGTTGTTCTGTAAATAAAGATAGTTTACTAAACTAATACTTTCCGCCCTTCTCATGAACTAGAACTCTGAAAGTAAGTACAAATTTGGAACTTTTCCATTTTTTTTGAACACTTGTTTCCAGTTGCAAATAGGAAAAGAACATAAAGGTCAACATCTCATACAAATGGAAAGACCCTCAGAGGACTGAAATCCAAGTACTAGCCAGAGACAGCTTTAAACGTCTGTCATGATAACAATCCCTCTTATGAACATTGTCATATGGACGAATCTACTGCTCTAGGACTTTTCCCACGTGCACAGGGTTGCTCATAAAGAGGAGACACTTTGACATACTGAAAAACGTGTGTCAACCTAAGGCTGTACTAGCACAGTGCTTGGAGACTAAAAGAACGCTTGTTTTTGAGGTATCCCCCTGCCCCCCCCCCCCAAAAAAAAAATCAGTACTCAATACATAATGTTGGCCTTCCAAGTATCAAAAATTCAATGTGCCTATCCCAGAAGAGCATATTCAGCTTCAACGTATGTTTAGATGCCCAAAATAACCAGTTTTTGGTGCTACAAAGAGGTTTGTACAAGACATCGGGTGGCAGGGCCTTTCACAAATCATACAGGAGCAGAACACGCTCAGCCCTGCATACACAAGCTTATCCAAAATCCACAGGAAAAAAAAAAAGGCTGGATGTGGTACATAAGAAGTAGACTCAGAGTAGATATTGGTTGCAATCTGCATGTAGAAAAGTAGAGCAGAAGTAGAGAATAATGAATAATTATTAGCTGAATTTGTAGCCATGTATGTAAGAATGATTCCTCACTGCATGTTGAGGCCACTGAACAAGTCCTCTTGGAGGATGTCTTATTCAAAGCAATTCTTATTTCCACCGGAATCAGCACACTCTTTTGCCCTATTCACCTGTTTGTGTTTCTCATTCTCTATACGTGCCCTAAGACCACACTCTGAAAAGTTTCTTGACATATTGCTGCTATACTCATTCCTGAACATAATGCAGCTGCCACATCCTTCCTTCCATGACACAAAAGCAGTAAGATAAAGCTATGACAAGGTAAATTCCACTTCACTATGCCATTCAAGAGCCTTACGCTGCACAGCTACAGTGGCATGGTCTGCTCGGAAGTGTTGCCAATGTTGTTTATTGCAGCTAAAATAATTGCTCTGATTGCTGCTGCCTTGCAATAAGAACATATTTAAGTTACAAATGCTTAGCTATGAGCATCAAAAAAAAAATCACTTACTAAATAATATCTGCAAATAATCGTAACTATGGAACAGTGAAAGACTACCTCTGTTCATCCGCTGTCAGCTAGAAAATGCATCTTCAGAGTTAAGAAAAACACTGACTTCCCAACATTGTGCAAGGGCAACAACGCTCTCAGATCCTCTTACCATATACTGCCCTCCATTAAATGAAAACAAATGGATGTGAAATACAGCAGAACAAGCAAAATCCTCAAAAAGATTACTGAAAGTCCTTCCTGACTGCTTTTCTTACTGTACCTCATAGCTGAAGTGCTTTGTCTTTGAAGCAGTCTCTTACTATCTTCGTACTGGTTTGGCAGATTATCAAATGCAATTCCAGCCCTTTCATTCTCATTGATCCAACTGGAAAACATTCTCTTTCCAAGTACCTTTCCTCTCCTTTATCACTAGCAAATCTTTCCCACAGTCTGGCCTCCTCCTGTCCAGCACTGCAAGTCAACCACATCAGCAGCCTTTACAACCCCTATATACACCGTTATCACGATACTTCATCCAAGAGGAAGAATGATGTTTACTCGTATAAAGTTCCTTTATCAAACTCCGTGTGATCCTTCTAGCACACTGGGAAAGTGCACCTCAACGAAGAAACGCAAAGCATGCCCGCCTACAGCACACCGCAGAGCTCAGCTCGGCTCTCTAAGCAGCCTCTTCGGAGCACAGCAGCACACGTGCGTTGGCTAATTTCCCCTAGAAGACGGAGGAGCCGTGGGACTCTTAGATTACAGTAATGACTGCAGGGCAGTTTTGCTGCTATCCCCTGGAAACAGGGATAGACCTGCCTGATCCATTATCCTGATGCAACTTGTCAGCACACAGTCTATTTGTCAGCACTGCACGCAGGGTATAGACATCCACATGGTTAGAAGCAGAGTTCACGCTAAATGGAACAGAGTAGTTCAACATTCTTCCTAAAGAGCTCTTTTTTTGGCTAATAAGATAAGAAATTGATTATGCAGCCGAACAATTGCCCCAAGTAGCCAAAAATCCAGTTAGCTCTCAAACACCCAGAGGCAATGAGCCGAATTCTGCTATCGGTTTCACTAGTGCCATTAGACTGAGCCCCGTCTGCACAACAAGGCCCTTTGTCTCCACATTGCTCTGAAAATCCATATTTAACAGATTATCCTCTTGCTTTCCTTCTCCCTTCAGCAAACACTTTTAGTCTTTAACTATGGTTCTTAGCTTACTGGAAACCAACCTCTTCATGACTGAAATACAAATTATGCCTCGTGCAATTATCCCAGTATGCAAAACAGCATTTTGCCTATTCAGGGTGCCCTTTTCTAATCTAGACTTTCCATCTCTGATGTCCACAGCAACATCTGCTGGTAGAACAATATAAATACATAAAAAAAGAAGAGGCAGAATCATAATAAAATCTTCAAACAGTTGTGGGGTTTTGCTGCTTTTTCCCCTAAATCTATGACTATATCAAACCTGCTTTGTTTCATTTCTTTCAGTTAAAAGCCCTGGGTTCCCAAAGGTAATGCAAAATGTTAAAAACTAAATACTAACATCACAAGTCTTAAAAGAATTATCTGTGTGGCTTTGCAAGTTGTTAGCAAAATTCTTCACTTGGATTCTACTCAATCAGTGTTATCACATAGCTCATACATACTTAATCACACAGTTGTCCTTAAACAAAGTAGACAGAAATAAACTCTTACCATAATGTCTTAAGGAACAAAATACTTTCAAACTTAGCAATCCCTCCATAAAATAAAAAAAAATTTGAGTGTAGTTAAGAAGTACAGAATGCACACATTTGATTTGAAGGCTTACTTTCTTCAGAATGATGTTCTTGAAATAATTAGGCAGCTATTACCACTTATTGCCATTACCTCTATTAAAAAAAAAAAAAAAAAAAAACAAGCTGTAACTTTGCTGCTGTAGTAGCACCCAAACAAGTACTGCAAACCTAACTGCTTCAACTACGTTAGAATGTCTTTGGTAGAGGTATGCATATTTGGTTTTATTTTAAAAGTCGTAGGAGCAAATTTACAGAATCTAGCAACAAATTTCACTTAAAGCTAATAACATAGGCAAGAATAAAGTACAGCTACAAAGTTTTTAAATTTTACCTCTGACTATTTTTCTACAGAACGGGCTTCATTCCATCCCCATTTAAGTTTTGGAGTATTGCCAGTGATAAGAATAGAAAGGGTAAGAGCCCAGTAACTAGTGTCTCTTATAACGGCTTATAATTTGAAGTCCATTAGTACCACGCACTAACACATACAGATAGATTTCCTGCTCTACAGATCATCTAGTCTAGAATGAAACTCCCATCGTCATCAGGGTTTACCGAATTCACATATTCCCGAAGACGCTTCCTTGGTATGTTCTATTACTAGATTGTGCCTGAAATGTTTCATCAAGTCTTTATAGATTTCTTCCTATGAGTGCACAAAACATACATATCATATTTAATGTATAATAGGTTTATTTGTATGCTTGTATATATGCCTACTACAGCCTCCCTAACAGGACCAAATGCAAAATCTCTGTGCATTCATACCTTGAAGGACACTTTTGACAATGGCATCTGTGTGATCAGCCAGCAGATTCACTTCGGCAATTGCAGCCAAGGACAGATAACTCGACATGTTTCTGCACAGTTCCTTATTTCCTCTCTGAAGAAATTTCACTGCCACTGGGACAGCTAAGGCCATTACAGGAGGTCGATTGTAGTTCTGCGAGAACAAGAAAGCACACTGAAAAATAAGCAGCTGAAAAAAATGATTGAAATAAAGTCTTATGCTGATGAGAATTGGAAAAAAAAACAAAGAGGAAAAAGGCAAAAAATCAGATTGAGAAAGGTTGTATTTTGGTAACACCACTGAAGTCAGGCTTCAAAGAAAGAGCAAGCAAGGAAATTTAAAACTACAGCATATGCTGTATGCAAAACTACAGGATATGCTAATAGTATACCTATTTTTGCCTTCTGCAAGAGGAGTAGAAAACATTATGATATTATGTGCACTACTTAAAGGTTAAGTTTCTAACAAAATACATTTTGGGTTTGGTGTTACCAGAGAAGACAGCAGACGCTACGTCCATCGTTCCCACAGAGTAGATAATTTTTGCCCCAAAGCACAGGAAAGGTTTTTTTCGGCAGAGTCAGCCATGCTGTGGACCGGTAAAGGCTGCTCGCTGCGCCAACGGGCGCACCGCTCCGCTCCACCCTCCCCATCACCGAGGTCCAGCAACGAGAACCGCTTGAAACGCTCGCGCGGACAAGGAGCGCTGCGGGCGCAACGTCAAGCACGAGTACATCTGCCCCGGTGCGAGTCACGGCTTCCCTGACCTGAAGGGCAACTCGCGTGACTACTCGGGCCACCCTGTTCCGAGTTTGGGACTATCTTTGAGCTCGCAGAGACCACAGCGAGAAGCAACCTCTACCTTCCCAAAACAGCCTCTTCCTAAGCCCCTGGGACAAAGCACGGGTATAAAACAGTATTATCTGCTTGTGATTTGGGTTTAGTGCTCTGTTTGTGTAAGGGAAGGTCATTAGGACCGCTAAACGGCAACCGATATATGAAAATCATTTTCATAAATAATGGGGTTTTTTCATTTGTTTCTTTTCCAAACTTTTGCCACCACTTTAAAGAGATTCTCTGTTTCCAGGCACTTGTTCATCACGGTCCTCCTTCCTCCCTGCTGCTCAGGTTTCCACCCAAATCGCCAGCTGCCTCGTCGCTCAGCGTCGCGGCGGGGCAAGCGAGACAACGTGGCTCAGCCGCACCGGCGCTTGCGAGAACAAGAAAGCACACTGAAAAATAAGCAGCTGAAAAAAATGATTGAAATAAAGTCTTATGCTGATGAGAATTGGAAAAAAAAACAAAGAGGAAAAAGGCAAAAAATCAGATTGAGAAAGGTTGTATTTTGGTAACACCACTGAGGTCAGGCTTCAAAGAAAGAGCAAGCAAGGAAATTTAAAACTACAGCATATGCTGTATGCAAAACTACAGGATATGCTAATAGTATACCTATTTTTGCCTTCTGCAAGAGGAGTAGAAAACATTATGATATTATGTGCACTACTTAAAGGTTAAGTTTCTAACAAAATACATTTTGGGTTTGGTGTTACCAGAGAAGACAGCAGACGCTACGTCCATCGTTCCCACAGAGTAGATAATTTTTGCCCCAAAGCACAGGAAAGGTTTTTTTCGGCAGAGTCAGCCATGCTGTGGACCGGTAAAGGCTGCTCGCTGCGCCAACGGGCGCACCGCTCCGCTCCACCCTCCCCATCACCGAGGTCCAGCAACGAGAACCGCTTGAAACGCTCGCGCGGACAAGGAGCGCTGCGGGCGCAACGTCAAGCACGAGTACATCTGCCCTGGTGCGAGTCACGGCTTCCCTGACCTGAAGGGCAACTCGCGTGACTACTCGGGCCACCCTGTTCCGAGTTTGGGACTATCTTTGAGCTCGCAGAGACCACAGCGAGAAGCAACCTCTACCTTCCCAAAACAGCCTCTTCCTAAGCCCCTGGGACAAAGCACGGGTATAAAACAGTATTATCTGCTTGTGATTTGGGTTTAGTGCTCTGTTTGTGTAAGGGAAGGTCATTAGGACCGCTAAACGGCAACCGATATATGAAAATCATTTTCATAAATAATGGGGTTTTTTCATTTGTTTCTTTTCCAAACTTTTGCCACCACTTTAAAGAGATTCTCTGTTTCCAGGCACTTGTTCATCACGGTCCTCCTTCCTCCCTGCTGCTCAGGTTTCCACCCAAATCGCCAGCTGCCTCGTCGCTCAGCGTCGCGGCGGGAAAAAAAAATGGCCCAGCCGCACCGGCGCTTGGCTGCCGCTCAGAGGGAGGCCTGGCTTCCTCCCCTCCTCCTCCTCCTCCACCCCTGCCCAGGAACTGCCTCTTCCCTCCCCAGAAGCCAGTTCGCGTGCACCAAGCTGACTGAAGACTCATCCCTTCTGGGCTGCATTCACACACAAAACAGCATCAGAGCCCCGTGTAATCACAGCGGAAAAAGCCCCAGAAACATTCAGTTCTGCCAGCGTAGGACCTTCCTGGTACTCGGCCTAGCAATGATCTTCCTTCCTTCCCTTCTTGTTTGTTGGTCTGTCTTCAGAAACCTCACACCAAGGCAGGAGAATGGCTGCAGCGTGTGATGAGAGCCCAAAGCCGTAAGTCAAAACTAAAACCCTAGAGCACTGTTTAGCGAACGCAAAGAGCTCTTTCCAGTTTGCAGCTTCAGGAAGTTTTTGTGAAGTAAATGAAAACAAAAAACCCCCCACTTCTTTGGGAGAGCAGAAGAGAGGGGGGAAAAAAAGATGTAATTAACTTTGAAATCAAAGCCATCCGTGTCAAGAGAGGTACCTTCACTAGGTGTACCGGTGGACTTGCTCATAGGGGAATCACTTCAGTATATGGTCATCAATTTTCCTCTAGGAATTAAGATTTCCTTTCTTAAATTCCAGCCAATTTCATTGGACACCAGGGTCAACTGAAATCTTTCTGTGTTTGGCACCAAACGCAGCTAAATTCTGTCTTCAAAACGGCACCAAACTTCAGTGATGTCAGGGGTATCTGCATGTATACTTAGGCTTTGACATTAGCATAAGAAACTGCTTTCTGCGGTTATTTGTGCATGAAGTTGCGTGCACACACTGTACACATCTATTGCCCATACATCCGTTCTCCTTGCAATCAGCCGGTTGTGTATTTTTTGTTTACTGAGGACCTGCGTTCTTTTTGGAACCTCCTTAATCAGTGCTTTTCTCTCATCTTCACTCAGTTTTGAGCATCTCTTTGAAACTGGATTGCATCATTGTTTTTGAAAATAATCCTGCTGTATGATTATATTTAATTAGCATCTGAAATCACAGTCAACCACTGGGACCCAGATGTTTCAGAAAGCAACAAACTAGTGAAAAGAAAGGCAGCCCAGACTTAACACATGCTCATTCTGGAGCAGCACTGAAAAAATAACTTTAGATCTGAGGGGAAAAAAACCCAAACCAAAAAAATCCTATTGTTCCACATACCCTGCTACATTGCCTGCTAGGCCAATTCTCCCTACATCAATAGCAACAGCCTTTCCCATTAGCTTCACTGAGAGCAGGACTGACCCTAATTAAGGCTACATTTTGCACTGGTTGAGAAGCACAAAAGCCGAGTTGAACCAGCTATGAGGATTTTCCAGCGCAAAAGAGACTTGCCAAGCAACGGAGCGCGGCGGCAGCAGCAGCTCCCTAAGGAGGAACGTGCTGCAGCGGTTCCTAGGTGTCAAGATAGCTCAATGCGGCAACTGTTATATGACCAATGACTGTCTCTTTAATGAGGAAAGCCTTAAAATGAATAGAGCTTTATGCAGCAGCATGCTTAAATCAACATAATGCCTCATTACTTTTGGCTGAGAAGAACTACTGAGTAGGAGGCAAAATTTGGCTCCAAGTTACGTGCTAGAAATCCATACAGAAAGGACAGGCAGATAAGCTTCAGCCCTCTGACTGGGATTTAAAAGTTCTAAGAAAATTCCAAAGAATAGGATTTTTTTCCTATAATAAAGATGATAAAATAGTTAAGAAAAGGTTTTTGTTCAGACAGAAGGATGAGTAAGGTTTCAGTGACTCCATTACAAATATCAGGGCATGACAGCACCCTTATGAAAACGTGAAGGTGACAATGAAAAACAGATTTCAATAATATGATATTGTGAAGTTTGCAAACCTAGGGGACCTCCCTGCTGCTAATAACAGAAACATGCTGTGAGATTCAACCCAGCTGTAAGATATTCATTACTTCAACTATTCCTCTCATTTTATATTTAAAAAAAACCCTCCGTTTATGTTTTTTTTCTTTTCTTTTTTTTTTAAAAACGCAAGGGACCCTGCTGATAAAGTTACATTTGAGAGAAAATTAATGTACATTTATAACATTCTCATTTCATTTAAGGGAGCTCCTTTCTTGACATAACCCATAATGCAATGCAATCCCTAAAAGATTTGGATGAGAGGTACATATCAGTGAGTGAAGCAAGGAAGATGACTGAGTTTCTGAAAGAGGGAACCGAATGCTGACTATCAGGCCCTCAAAGTTAAAACCATTTTTTCCCTTCCATTCCTGCAACAAACTAACGTTTCTTCGGCAAAGGAACTTCTCTCCTGACAATATCCAAGGAACTTTATAATCTCAATGAGAAATGCATTTAAAAATCTGCTTCAGTTAAATATTTGTGACAATTTAAAAACTGTATTTAAACTAACGAATCTTCTTTAACTGGCTGAGGCTGAAGGACTGAGTTTTATGGGCAAGATCGCATTTCAGTTCAGAAGCCAGTTTTCTGTGTTGTATCTAGACTCAGCACTTGCAATCAAAATTTCAAGGGAGACCTCCCCCCTCCTTTACTGACAGGATATCTGATGACCTAAATATTACATCATTAAAATACCTTTGATATTTTGCTGCTTTCCAGAACAGCGCCAAAGAATAACCTATGCCTTGGTATTAAGTGCTTTCAAATAAAACTTTCCGTAACCACAGCAAATGACAGTTCTCTGCCTCCCACCTCAATTCTTACATGAAGTGCAAATTACTTAGGATTAATGGCACATTAGCATAATGAAATCTGGCACTAAACAGTCAAGACGTTTCTAATGATAAGAGAGTTGCCAAAAACTTTTGATTCATCACAATGGATACTGCATACATGCAATAATATTCATTAAAATTTGGGGTCAGAGCCTTGGTTTTAAACAAATGCAACCACTCAAGTGCACCCTCAAAAAAAAAAAAGCACAGCGGTTTTTAGAAGGATAACGCTGACGAGCTGTGGTATGCATTCGGCTGCACTGCTTTGCGCTCCGTCTTACCTGCAAGATACAGCTCATGATATCAGATGCAATTTTTGCATGCGGTGTGTCCTCATCTCTTCCCGAAGGTTTTAGATTGTGCTCTAAGCACGACTCCCAGAGAGCCACCAGTGCTTTCCCGTGCTTTTCTATGGACTCCGTCTCCCTGATGGCGGTGGTGATGCGAGTGATGCAGATTTCCACCACAGCCTGGTCGTTGTCATTAGTTTGGTAGTCCTAGTTCAAACAAAGGACACTTGCCAATGAGTCTATGTTCTTTAGATTAGCTTTATGAGGTCTTTTAAAGTCATTAAGTTCCTGCAACTGCCCATTTTCTTCACATACATCTTTCCAAAAAATAAAAAAAGAAGTTTTGAATGATTAAAAACAGAAGCTAATCATGTGGTAGACAATTCACCATTTCAAGCTTTACATTTCAGCCAAAAAGAAAGAGAAGAAACAATCTTTTTTTTTTCTTTTCTTCCTGTAAACAGACTGTTATCACATGATTTTCAGTGGCCTCTATCTTAAAGCAGGGCCTCCTGGTTCCAGACAGTCAAGACGTTTACATTTGAACCACTTGCACAGGCCTTTTCCTCCCATAACCGTCCCAAAAGTCAAACTGAAATTGGTACAGCCACATAGCCAAAGGCAGGGTCCCAAACACTGCACATCACGCAGCGTCCCTGCCGTAAGCACTGATCGAACCTCGCTGTGCTAATGTAACAACGAATACAAACTAATTAAATAGGCATCATCACAAAATCCTGCAGTCCCCCATAATGATTTACACGTCTGCCACGTGGCTACGAAGTGGTATCACGTTGCGCTAACGCAACAGACGTCCGTGGAGAACCAGGCCCAGAACAGACGAGAGACAGGTCCAACCTGGGGTATTCTACCCTAAAGAGTAGCAAAGATGAGACAGACGGAAGTATTAGAAGTCATTATTTTTGCACAGAAGATTTTAAACGGTTGTGCCCAAATTCTGCGTTAGCTTACAGCAGTGAGGTTGGAGAGTTGGTTCTGTTGAGGTCGGAGCTGCGGCATGACGCTACATAACACTCAGAAGACACGACGTTTTGGCCTGTCTCATAAGCAGTTCGCTGGCTTTATAGGAGCCAGACGCTCTAGGAGCTTTGCTTGGTATGCCAGAAAACCCCGTACTTGTCAACAAACATTTACATGTGTTCTTTTTTAAGATGATATGTGGGTAAACAGGTGAACATTCCCGGTCAGTGGCTGGCTGGGACGAGTTAGGAGTAACCACCCAGCAGCAAGTAAGGGACGTTCATAGTCCAGACTGTTCGGGCATGGTGCCACCGTTCGGACACAGAAAGCCACCTGTCTACGCTTCTCTGAAGTTCCTCACGTTTGAGTTAAAATATGTGCGCTGGCAAATTCTGAATATTAACATTGCAACAAGCAGCTCTACATTGGTTTAAAAAAAAAAAAGTGTTTCATTGATCATTGATGCCCTCTAGTGGCAATTACCTTTCAGGAACTTAAAAATTCGCTTTCCTTTAGGCTGTAGTATGGTTTAGCTGTTTAATGCAAACTGGTATGTCTGTAAAAAATTTGCTACCAAAATTCGGTAATCATCTCTCAAAGCAGCACATTAGGAGGAATTTCTGCAAAATCTGATAATCTGCAATTAGGTTAGTGGAAGCAGATTTGAAACAGCGGAGACAACAGCCAAAGTAACTTGATTAATGTTCTGAAAGATTGTGCAAATGTAATTGCTGTCAAAGAAATTACCAAAGACAAGAATAGCATCTGCACATTGACCTTCCTAATGGATGATTTAGAGTTCTTGTGGCATCCAGCAAAACAGGGATCAAAGCTCTCAAAGTCAGACGTTTGTATGTTGCCAAAACTGATTTTAAAAATCACATGCTATAACATGCCAGAAGAAATGCAGTTCTCAGAACAAATACATGTTGCTAGTTGACTGCCTTACGGCTCATGAAAGCTTCCAGTTCCCTTTGGAGAACTGGTACATATTGCAATCAAAAGTGGGTCTGAAGAGTTTTGAAACGGCTCAGCAGGCTCAAGTCTCCTCTGCAATATAATTAAGGAATGGACTGGTTGATGGAAGAACTATTCACAGGTTATACTGTAATCAATCAGAAGTTAAAGGCAAAACCCAGGGGCAAGCAGGTGACGGAGGAAGTCAGATGAGAGCAGCTCTTGGACTCCTCTGGCCTTGGACTGTGCAAGTGAGGATATAAACTATTATTTCTATGTCCTCCTTCAAACACTTACAAAAACGTTTTTAACAGCCAAGCAAGCCACACACACGCTTTTAAAGTTCACCACAAAAGAGCCAATTCAGGGCTTGCATAACCCACCCACTTCAAATAACATCACAGACTTTGATAAAAGACAGGAGTAAGAGCAGAAAACATACAAGGCATTTTTTTCTAGGACGGTACTTAGAGTTCACTAAAAGTCAGTAAAACTATCATCATTCAGGACACTTTTTGCTGAAGTACTTAGAGTGAATACATACTTCACACAAAGTGCACCTGCACCGCTAAACTCCTATTAATCGTCAATAATTTTTATTAAAGAGTCTTTTGAAGCTTATGATAAAGAGCAACTTGAAATATCTTTAAATGGAATTTAGCCAGTGGGAACAGAATTTGGGGACCACACTTTTAAATCTTACATTAAATCTTGCATTTTGTTTGGCATTCTTCAGGTTTTTAAATCTTTAAGTTGTATATGTCCCTGTACTTAATACTTCATACAATACATTTAAACTCACGCGAAGTGATTAAGAACAGCGTTTTGCTTACCGCAGACGAACTAATTATTCTTATTTGTTCGAGAGCTTCTGAGAGACTTCCTTCGATTTCAGCATCGCCCAAGGAGAAAAGATCCCCTGCACGTGAAAGGTCCTTTTGCGCCAAAACCAGTTCAAACAAGTGATGCATGGCTGACGTGGTCTGCCAGTCTGCCAGATCTCTGCATCTA